TTAAAATAGGGGATAAGGTTTGTGATGGAAATATGAGTCTAAAAATGATGAGCTGTTCAATGTCACATTTTGTAAGTTTTATTATTTCAGTGGGCAGTGCTTAGCAGAAAAAAATGAGTTATGCAAAGTTAATTCTGAAAAATAAAAAAAAGAGATTGAGAAAACTAAGAACTGTCAACTTTAACTTTTATAGCCAACTCTCCCCACCAACCTTCCCCATCTATTCTACTCACAGTGGCCCAATGATCTATCTCTCCCTCACTGTCTCTCCTTCCCTCCTTCCCTCCCTCTTGCTTTCTTTTCCCTTAATGCAAATCTTAGTTTAGGCTCCACCCCTGCCTGAAATACTCTAATGGCCTCCCATCTATCTCAGGATAAAATACAAAATTCTTGTCTACAAAGCTTTACTTGATCTTGCCACCACCTACCTTACTAGTTTTATCTGATTCTCATACTCACAGGATCTTGTGCTCCAACCAAATTGGGTTCCACAAATTCAGAATTCTCCTGAAGTATTGAAACTTTTTGTCCTTTTTTGTTCTCTCCGCTGAGGGTCTCTTTTTGTCCATAGGTACCCTTCCTCCACTCTGTCCAGGTCATTCCCCAGATTTCAGTCCTCTCCTAAAAGTGTGTAGTCCGTGGAAGTTTTCCTGCTCAACTAGGGTAGCAGGTACCCTTTATGTACTGTCACGGCCCCTGCATTACATTGCAGTTCTTAACACTATTGTCATTAAATAACTAATGGACTTGGTTTCTCTTTTTAACATCTTTGTCACTAATGCCTAGTAATATACTCTGCCTGTGCCTTACTGGAATTCAGTAAGTATTTGCTGAATCAATGACTTAACACTTTATTTGGGATAAAATAAAAATGATCGGTGAGATTTCTGTGCCTCTAGAATTATCTGTGGGGAAAAATACTGGAGAAACATAACATCAGTTGCTTTAGAACTTGACTTGAGCACCATTCTAAGAAGTCAGGCTCACCAAAAATCACCCACAGAAATGCAAAACCTATGGTCCACCTGCAGCAGCCAGAAACTTGAATGTTATCAACCTCCTCTCTTTCTCTTGCCTTACTCATTCAAATAGTCACAAAATCCTGGCAATTTTGCCTCCTTTGGATCTTCCAGATCTGTTCATTTATCTCCCCTCTCTCTGATGCTCCACAGCTTCAGCTGAGGTCACCATCATCTCTTGCCCAGATTCTTGCAACAGCTTCCGTATTAGATATTCTGCCTCCAGTTACAGCCTCTCTGGGATCCATTTCCACTTCGCTAAAGGGATTTTTCTAAAATGCATACATGAATGCATACCTAAAATGCAAACGTGTAAATTCTCCTTTAAAATCCTTTCCTTCAGGATGAAATACATTTTCTCAAGAGGGCTTTCAGTGCCTTTATGATTCAGCCCTGCCTACCACTTCCTGCTTCTTCTCTGCTGTTGCAATCCACATTTTAGGCCTCAGCCATGCTCAGCATTAGTTATACAACCACCATGCTCTCTCTGCCTCCAGGCCTCAGCACTTAGCACTATTTGTTTCTGGCCTACCCTTCCGAACTTTCCAGGCTGGCTAATTTCTCCTGCCACCAATTATATTGGGACGCCCACCCCTGTGTCTTATTCACTCTTATACTCTCTCAAAGTCCACCAGTGCCAGATACATGGTCAGTGTTTAATTAATATTATATTGAGTGGTTTGCATGATATTCTTGGTTTAAGTGATGGTGCTTACCCCTATTGTCTGGCAGGTATTTGCATTTGATGTTGGTGGAAAAACTTGGAAATCTTATGATTGGTCACAGATTACAACTGTGGCAGTTTTTGGAAAATATGACTCAGAACTTATGTGCTATGCTCATTCAAAAGGAGCCAGAGTAGTGCTAAAAGGTGAGTGACAGTTTTTATCTGATGTGTTCAGACAATTGATACGTTTACTTGCATCATTTGCTATCCAGACTAGCTAGAAACTTCCCTTTGCATGTTCATGTGGTATATTTTTTAGCATCCTAAAATTAATCTTGGATACCATTTAATTCATTTCACAGAAACAGATACTGTTAAAAACTTAAATAAACCACTGCATGGTTTTGAGCAAAACATGACTCCTAATTAGCATGAGGACCTTTTAGCTAGTCCTAGTCCACCATTTCTGCTTCTAATTTGAGAATGATTTTACTAATTATTCATAATGGTTATTTTGGAAATGAATGAGTAATGACTTTTATTATTTTGTTACATTATTTCTGCATTTGGAAAACTTAAGTTGGGAGCTTAGTATACCAAAATAATGAGATATTTTAAGTACATTTTGATCTCTTTGGAATGGGTTTGTGAAGTAAATATCAATGAACTCTTAAAAGCATTTTTACACAAAAAGTGTATATTTCTTTCACAGGAGATGTATTCTTAAAGGATATCATTGATCCTACTTTCAGAGCATCCTGGATAGCTCAAAAACTTATGGTGGCTAAAACACAATATATGGATGGAATTAATCTAGACATAGAGCAAGAAGTTAATTGTTCATCACCTGAATATGATGCATTAACTGCTTTAGTCAAAGAAACTACAGAGTCTTTCCATCGTGAAATTGAGGGATCACAGGTAAAAATTCATTTGATATTTTTTGGAAACCCCTTAATATCTCTATCAAAATGTATTCATGAAGGTATGAGTAATAGAATTTCGGTTTATAGAAATCGAGTAGAAAGAATTTCAACACATATATCTTTAAAAATTATCTGGAAATTTGAAGGTTGTATTAAAGAAGTTTTACAGAGTTTTAAGGTGTTAGATTTGTTCTTTATGGACATCAAGATACAACATGGATTTCCCATCTTCTTGCCTCACAGGAGGGTTAGCGATATTAGATGGGCAAAAGGGATCAGCAAGAGTCAGGAAAGGACTCCCCAACTCCCAGTTTCTCCCTGAGGAGGAAAGGCTTTAGAATGCACATTTAATGCCCCAACTTTTAAGGCTCCTGCATGACCAATGGGCCCCCAAAACATCTACCTCTGAAAGCCAACAGGGTTTCCATTCATGAGTCTTACAGGACTGTAGCAAACAAGGAAGAGGTTCCCAAGGTACCTGAGCACTCAAAATGGATACTCCCCCCCAGGGCTCAGCTCCGCAGATACAGGCAGAAACGCCCATCTCCTACTCTTTTCTTGGAAAAGTCTGACTGTGTATTTCACAAGCTGCTGCCTGAGGGTCTGGCTTCTAATTAGCACACATCTAAGTAGTGACTACAATCTTCCCCAGACCCCAAAAGAGCTAGTGGGCACTTCCCCTGCCTTCTCCCTATGGCTCACTCCAACAGTAAATTCAAGTCACCAGTATGTCCCTGGAAGGAGCATATCCACACACCTAGCACTCCAACTTTTTGGCTGCCATTCAAGTGACGGGTTTCTAAATCACTTAGTTCTGTTAGCCAGCAGGTTTTGCATTTATGGCTCCCTAAGGATTATAGCAAAAAAAGAAGCAGTTTTTAAATGGGGGCAGGATCTCCCATTGTTATACACCTGGGCTCAGCACAGATGGAACAGGCAAAAACATTTATCTCTCAAGAAGGTGTTTAACTGTATACCTTCTCAGTGGCCTGAGTGTCCAGCTTCTAATTAGCTTGCATCTAGGTACTCACTGTGATTCTCCTCTTTTGGAATCTGGAGAGTCTTGGTACACCAACTATTTGGTGTGCTAAGCACAAAGACAACATTTTGGACAATCATAAAGGTTTGAGTGGGATCCAGGAGCTCAGGCCAGGGTGATTGACAAGTTTCATCTCTTGTACAAGACTAGTCTATCAAGACTAAAAGAGGTGGCTGTTTTGTCTAATGTCCAGAAATCAACACAGAGAGTCAAAGAGAATGAAGAAACAAAGGAATATGTCTCAAATAAAACAACAAGATGAAACACTACAAAAAGACCTTAATGAAGAGAAATAAATGATTTGATAGCGAATTCAAAATAATGGTCATAAAGTGGCTCACTTTGGTCAGGAGAGCAATACCTGAAAAAATGAGAATTTCAACAAAGATATAGAAAATATTAAAAAGTACTCAGCAGAAATCATAGAAATGAAGAAAAACAATAATACAACCGAAAGTTTCAACAGAGGGGTTCAATAGCAGAAGGGGTTCAGCATGTATCAAGCAGAAGAAAGGATCCACAAAGTCAAAGGCAGTGAAATTCATCTAATCAGAGCAGTTAAAAGAAAAAATAATGAAAAAGAGTGAGGATAGCTTAAGGGACTTAAGAGATATATGAAGAGGACCAGTATATATCTTTTCCCAGAAGGAGAAGGGAGGAAGGGGCAGAAAGCTTATTCAAGGAAATAAGGCTAGAAGTTCCCAAACCTGAGAAAAGAAATCGACATCCAGATTCAGTAAGACTGGAGAGACCCACATCAAGACACATAATTAAATTGTCAAAAAATAAAGACAAAGATTCTTAAAAACAGCAAGTGAAAAGCAACTTATATTATATATAAGAGAACCCCATCCCCACTACCACCATTAGACAATCAGTGGGTTTTTTAGTATAAACTTTGCAAGCCAGAAGGGAGTGGGATGAGATACTCAAAGTGCTAAAAGAAAGAAATGGCCAAGTAAGAATATTCCTACCTGGCAAAGCTGTCCTTCAGAATTGAAGGAGAGAGAGAGTTTTCCAGACAAACAAAAGTAGAAGGTATTCATCACCACCAGACCAGCCTTACAAGAAATGTTAAAGGGACTTCTTTGAGCTGAAGTGAAAGATGCTAATTAGTAACATGAAAACATATGAAAGTATGAAACTCATGACTAAGAGTAAATTATAGCTAAATTTATTTATACTATAATATTATGATAGTTGTGGATAAATCACTTATAATTCTACTATAAGGTTAAAAGACAAAAGTATTAGGAATAAGTATAACTACAATAATTTGCTACCAGATACACAATTTTAAAAAGATATATAATGAGAGCTAGAGCTTTTGTATGCATTTTAAGTTGTTGTTATCAACTTAAAATAGACTATAAGATTTTTTCAAATTTTAGAATTATTTTTATTGATGCATAATTGACATATAACATTAGTTACGACAATTTAATATTTGTATATGTTGTGAAATGATCACCATAGTAAGTCTAGTTAACATCCATCACTATATATCTATTTACAAAATTTTTTCATATAAGCCCTATAACTACAAGGCAAAAACCTATAACAGAAACACAAAGGATAAAGGGAAAGGAATCAAATATGTCACTACAATATTAAATCTAAATCATCAGATCACACAGGAAGTGAGCAAGAGAGGAGAGGAAAAAAGGAATTACAAAATAGCCAAAAAGCAATTAGTAAAATGGCCTTAGTAAATTGCTGTCAATTACTACTATCACCAATTGCTTTATCAATAATTATTTTAATATGAATAGGTTAATTCTCTAATCAAGAGACACAGAGTGGCTGAATGGATTTAAAAAACAAGATCCAACTATATCCTGCCTATAAGGGAATCACTTCAACTTTAAGGACACATATAGACTAAATTAAAGGGAATGAAAAACAGATTGCATGCAAATGGAAACCAAAGAAAGCAGCTATAGCCATGTTTGTATCAGGCAAATCATTTAAGTCATAAATGATAGACATTTTTGTCTAGACTTTACACAGAAAATGGTCATTATACAATGATTAAGGGGTCTATTCATCAAGAAGATATGATAATTTTAAATATTTATGCTTGCAACATCAGAGCGCCAAATATATTAAGCAAGTGCTAACATATCTGAAGGATGAAATAGACAGTAATACAATAATAGTAGGGGACTTCAATACTCCACTTACAGCAATGGATATCGATCATGCTGACAGATAAGCAACAGGAAAACATCAGTAAAGAAACTACATGTTAGATCCAGACGTTCATAGAACATTTCATTCAACAGCAGAATACACATTCTTTTCAAGCACACACGCAACATTTTCCAAGATAGAGTGTATGTTAGCCCACAAAATAAGTCTCAGTAAATTTAAGAATATTGAAATCATGTTATCGAGCATCTTTTCTGACCACATTGGTATAAAATTAGAAATTAATTACAAGAAGGAAATCCTGTTATTTGTGACTATGTGGCTGACTTGGAGGGCATTAGGCTCAGTGAAATAATCTAGACAAAGGCAGATACTGTATGATATTACTTATGTATAGACTCTAAAAAAATTCAAGCTCATAGAAAAGAGAGTAGGTGGTTATCAGGGGTTGGGGAAAATAGGAAGAGGCTGGTAAAGGGTATAAACTTTCTGTTAAAAGATGATGAAGGTCTGAGGATTTAATACATAACATGGCAACTATGGTTTACAATACTGTGTTGTATCATCGAAATATGCTAATAAAGTAGAACTTAAATGTTATCAATAAAAAAAGTAAATATGTGAGGTAATGGATGTGTTAACTCAATGATGAGAATTCTTTCACAATATACACACATATCAAATCATCACGTTGTACATTATATATATTATAATTTTAATTGTCAATTATACTTCACTAAGACTAAAGGAAAAACTACTAGGCTAAACAGTGGGTTTTTGAAGACAGAGACCAGCTCCTTGATGTCTAATAAGATGTTTAAAAATTGTTGAAGTTAATGAATGCTACATGCCTTTCAAAGATTTAAAATCTTTAAAAACCCACTGTTTAGTAAATAAATATCTATGTAAAATATAAGTAGTATTAACTAGTGACTCTTAACTGATCTCGGAATCTCCTAGGAGTGCTTGTTAAAAGTATCCCCAGTGCTTGATTCAGCAGGTCTGGGATAGAGCCTAGGAACTGTTTTGATCAAGTTGTGCCAGATGATTCTGGTAAGTTGGTTAACATGAATTTGAGGATCATTGGAAAAATAATAAGTGATATAAGGACTGACATCTGTGTGGCTTTATGCAAGTAGAGGTTTGTCAGTATGGAATTCAGCTTTTCAGATAAGTACAATTTCTATCAAGAATAGCAAATATTTGTTATGCAGGCCATCAGACTCCTCTCTTCACATAGTTTGATTTCTAAACCTTTTCCTTCATTCCCTAGATTGCTGTTATTAATAGATTAGAACTGGTGTGTGGGAAATAACCTATTTGCTATTAAGCTACAGTGAAAGGGTAAGGAGGAAGAGACTGAGCACAGATTTTGTAGTAAGAATATCTACTTCCATGTTTGAGGGGCAAGTAGAAAAATTGGGGCTACTATGTCGTTAGGTAAATAAGTGGGAGGCACAGTTGCCAAGATAGGCTAGAGAGTGGAAGATCCAGAATATCAGAATGAAGAGTATGCATTTTATTCTGTAAGTAATGGGTTACATGTGTAGAAAGTGTTTGGGGAAGAATATTTTATAGTAGTACATAAAATAATAGAGGAGAAAGGGAGACCAGTAAGGACTAACCCAATAATACAATAATGGGATTTATAGTTTGGATTGGGATGATGCCCTAACACTCAGCAAATATTAAATAAATATTTACGGAATTAATTAATGAATGAATGAAAAGAAAGGGGCTAAACAATTGTGAGAAGCCACCCAAAGGAAAATGTAAGATTAGTGATGGGGTGAAGGGGAGTCAGAAAATGGCCCAAAGTTTCTTAAACTGGTGACCAGAAAAGAAATGATTAAAAAAGATGATAATTTATGATTATGGATTTGTGGTCAGAGAATTAAAGAGCTAGAAATGCCCTTGGAGAGTTCTTTCTACACCCTCATTTTTACAGGTGGGAATACAGATTCAGATGTTTTAAGTTACATAGACCTAATTATAACAAAGCCAAGACTAGAACCAAAGTGTTGATTTCTTGTCTAAAATACTAATACTGCCTTCTCAAAAATATGAGATTAAGTATGACATGAAATCCAGGTGAAAAGACTCTCAGTGCTCAGGACAGCGGTAAGAACTTACAAAATGGATTTGAAACTTACTGGCTTAGAGGTAATCATTTAGTTTCTCCTTTATGATAGTATATAGAGCTCCCATTTTGTAATAGAAAGCAGTGATAAAATGGGGTCCTAATGTAAAAATTTCACATTATAACCTATTTTGCTAGAGAGCTATTGAGGAAAGCTTATACTTGTAAAGCAGAGCTTCCTTTAGTGCTAATACTCAGAAAATTACAGAGAACTCTGGGAAAGTCCTTACAAGAGTTACAGTAGAATAAACTGGCCAAAGTGTAAAAGTTTTAAAGTATCTCAGTTGTTTGTAATAATTAATCAGTGGTTTTATTGAGAGCCTAATTATGAAAAAAGAAAAAAACTTTTAATGAAGTCTTAGAACATTTGCACACATATAAAATAAGGCTAATTAATGTTTGGTTAAGGCAATAACTATTTTAAAGGGACTTATGCCTTTGGAAGATTGGCTCACCATTCAAAATGAAAGATAACTTATCAGTTAAATTTTATTGGAATATTTCCATAAAATAAGACCATTTAAATGACTTGTTTAACACTTCGAGTTGATTATCTATAAGTATAGCTATAAACCACCACTATTAACTGTAATGTTGTACTGACCCTAACATATAAGGTAATTGGAAATCAAGGGCTTAATCTTCCAGCACAGGCCAGTTGGCTTGTGCCAAAAAATGACCAACTTAGCCAGCACATATTTTAAAAACTGTCGTATCTAAATTCTTAGCTTCTGCTCTCCAGTTGCTTAGAGGCCCCTTCACACCCTACTGTCATTACACCTGTTTCTTTCAGTTTGAGTTATCAATTCAGTTAGCAGTCTTGCCTCTGAAAACATTTGAGTTTAAAATTCTTCTTCTGCACTGCGCTCTGCTCCTGGTCATTGTATATGTCCAAATATGACTGGGTCCAAATATATATCCCTTATCCAAACATATGTCTAAAACATTGTCCAAATATATGTCTGGCTCAGTCCATGTAGGAAAAAAGTACATTTCCTAGATTTGTTCCAGTTCTATATGTGTCAAACCCTACATTCACATGTGAAAGCAATTCTTTTTTCTTGGGTAGTATGAAGCAAGAGAATATATATTCATAAAAACATCTGATATAATATACATATTTGATGTTACATAAAATCATATGTGTTTTTCCTCAGGTAACCTTTGATGTTGCTTGGTCTTCAAAGTGCATAGACAGAAGGTGCTATAATTATACTGGAATTGCAGATGCTTGTGACTTTCTCTTTGTGATGTCTTATGATGAACAAAGTCAGGTCTGGTCAGAATGTATTGCAGCAGCCAATGCTCCCTATAATCAGACATTAGCTGGTAAGAATACATCAAATGATCATTAGTCATTAATCCCATAATCTTAAACATTAAGATATATTTTAGTATTTCTAAGTCATTCATATACCTTTTCCATTTGTAAAGCTTTCTTGAAAAATGAAAAGCATTTAATTTGGAGAGCTTTCAAATTTACAAAAAGTTTTAAAATTTTGGAATTTTCACTTAATTCTAAAAATCTTGTGGGATAGGTATATTGTTGTTAGCCCTTAATTACAGATGAGATGAAGGGTGTTAAGCTCTCCTGATTGCACAGCTATTAAGTTTTATATAATTTGGACTCAGGAAGGTGTTCCAACCTCAAGTCAACACTTTTCTCTCAAAATTACATGAAGAAGATATTTGCTTATCTAGAATTTGACAAAATATTTTTGTTGAAATAACCAATGTTAAATAATTTAAAAGCAAAGACAGTTATGATGTGTACTTTCTGTACATGATTATTGGGATTAGATTTTATCTAATTTGGCATTTATGTTAGTACCCAGGCCATGGTAAAAATTATATAATTAGAATTAAGAGTACTTCTGATCTGTCATTCAGATGAAGTGGACTTTGCATTATCCTTTCCAAAGTTTGGACTGGTTTGTATCTCATTAGCCAAGTGAATAAAAAGTTGCTTGCTATCTTTAGGACTCAAGTGAAATCTCTGGGATAGTTGGTATTAAGTGTTAACTGGTTAATAATTGTTTGGACAGAATAGTCTGATTGCAAACACTAGTATGTAATTGTAAATTTGAAAAAATAATTTTGTTACAATTAAAAATTATTTAATCCAGTGTTCTCGGACTGTGTTTCAAGGAAGAGATAATTGTGTTCTATCAATAAAAGGTTCATTATTAAATATGTTTAGAAAATGATGCATACTCCACCCTTCACTTGGAATATAATGGTACACAATAACTTTAAAGGCTCTGAAAAGTAGCAAATTTACTTAAGTTATATTCAATATAGTCTTAGAACTTCCCTTGGTGGGAACACACATTTTGCAGCATTGGGCAAGAAAGAGATAAATAGTATCAAGAATTTGTTAAATTTTCTCTGTTTCCTATAACTACAGATTATAGTAAGGAGTATCTTATCCCTGGCTGTAATTCATACTTATAGGGTATTTGTTAAACATGAAAACACTTGTGCTTTCTATAAGAAGTTGTAAGGTCATTCCAGACAGAACGTTTAAGACTTATAGAACTTTTTTGAAACTTTAGAATCTAGAATAGCAAATATTTCTTAGTAATTAATAGACACAATTAGCATGCTTTTCTGAAATGTGTCATTCTTCTTAAATTTTGTAATTTTTTGCATCAATTTGATCTTAATTGATTTGAATGTTATTATTATTTAAAAGAAATGATTTAGAAAGTGAGTTGAAATTTACAGTTATTTTTATTTATTTTTTTTATGGTGACATTGGTTAATGAAATCCAGTAAGTTTCAGGTATACAATTTAACAAAAAAGTCATATATATATTGCATTGTGTGTTCACCTCCCATAGTTAAGTTTCTTCTGTCACCAGGAATTTACAGTTCTTAAGGAATGATTTTCATAATATCATACTAGAATAACAGTATATTTTGCATAAATGAACCTATATTTACAAATTTAGATTCTGAATGGCTGCATACCTTGTGTAAACACATTAGTAGACATACAAAGAGAAAAAAATATGCTTTTTCTATCCCTATTTCATTAGCATATGATGAATACATTGAGATGGGCATTAACCCTAAGAAACTTGTAATGGGTGTTCCCTGGTATGGTTATGACTATACCTGCCTGACTCTAACAGAGGTAAGAACAGCTCATTTCTTACGAAATTTTTTTCTCTTTCTTCTGTAATTTAGAGCTTGTTTTGTTTCACACACATAAACTCTATTTAACATACATAAGTTCTATTTAGAATTTATAAACCTCTACATATAGAATATGTAAACTTTAGAATTTCTGAAATACAGTTTGAAACTAAAAAGTAGATCTTATTTTTAATTATTTAATCCTATGAACGTTTCTGAATGTTATATATTTTCATTTAATAATGAAATTTAATTTTCATACTATGTGGTCAAGACATCTATTTATAGTATATATTTTATTTTATAGTTTTAATTATATTTTCTGATTTAACTCTTAACATATGCTTAGTTGACAATCTGTAATAAGAGCATTTTTGGATTTTTAGGATCATGTTTGTACCATTGCAAAAGTCCCTTTCCGGGGGGCTCCTTGTAGTGATGCTGCAGGACATCAGGTGCCCTATAAAATGATTATGAAGCAAGTAAACAGTTCTATTTCTGGAATCCAGTGGAATAAAGATCAGCAGGCTCCCTATTTTAATTATAAAGTAAGATTTTCACAAGTTATAAATACTTATTCTCTCAGATTTTGTAACTGCATATTTTCGTAATTGCATATTTGATATAGAGAATTTCTATTAGTTTTCTTTTAGGGTACAACATACAAGCTTCTGTTTACATGACTAAACTTCTCTTTGGATCTGTGTTATCAGGAACGTTACTTCCCTGGTGGGCAACTCAAGTGATGCTCACAGTGGAACTGCTCTGCATGGGTAACTGTTACTGTAAATGATGTAATGAAAACGTGCATCTCACAAACAGCATTTCCTGAGTAGTTAACAGTTGTGTATGATGACTGTGGCTTCTAGAAGAGCTCTGGGCTAAAATAGGTTGCTAGCTTTGAAAGCCTCTATCTCTAGATAAAGACTTATATAGAGGCTCTTATATAGAGTGGAATGAGGCTCTTAAATAGAGAGGAATGAGGCTTAGAAAAAGAGATGTGCCATCATGGGCTTTCTAATGGAAAATGGCATCATTTCAGATTTATTTCACAATTCAGTCAAACTATTAGACAAATTATAAGCAATATTAAAGTTAGAGACTGAAAATTATTACAGAGACTTGAAGAAATGGAGTGAATAATTAGAAATTCTGTCAGGCAGTATTTGATAAATAGGAGTTGCCATATCAAAGAGTCAAAGAAAAGGGATAAGATTCATAGTTTACCTTTAGCATAATAAACTTTTACACACCTCAAAAATCTAAGTATAAACCATCTTTGAATTTTATAGTAACCACAGAATGGTGGTACTATAAATGGAGCCCGAACATGATATAATGCAAGTTATTACCAGTAAGCATTTATATTTTTTACTAATGGTCTGGTTCTCTTTTATAAAATGTGAGTGCAAACACACATATTTAACAAATTATAATTGATAAACATCTATACATGCCTGTATGTCAATTATATAGAAAGCTTTACTGCAGAGCTTTCTAAACTTTAGAATCTAATGTACATTCCCATTAAACTAGGGCATACTGTAACCATGTCTTTGGCAAGCAGTATATATAGAACTCTGATCTGGGAACTGTTAATATTACACACACACACACACACACACACACACACACACACACATACACACAAATACACATATACCACTACCATGGCCAAAAATATTTGAAAAACAATGCATACAGTATGTCCCTCTTGGAGATTTATAATGTACAACATTATATTAAAGGAATTGGGAACTACTGCAGTACATAAGCTGTTTAACTGTTTAACACAAGAGCCTGTTTCTCAGAGGTCTTAGAAACATGTAGGAGGAAGAGTGTTTTCATGGATATCAGTTTGGTAATGAGTGTATGTAACCAATTACACATAATTTAGAAATGTGTAATACAGAATAACAGTTTACACTGTGATGTAGTGCTTTTTGAATCCCTGACTTAAATTTTCTTTAATTAATAAGATGACCCATTCTTGAAGGCACAAGTCACCAAATCCTAGGGCCACAGACCAATACAGGTCAGTGGCCTGTTAGGAACTGGGCCACACAGCAGGAGGTGAGCAGCAAGCAGGCAAGCAAGGGAACCTTTATTTTATTTGCGGCTGCTCCCCAGTGCTAGCATCACCACCTCGGCTCCAGATCATCAGGCATTAGATTCTCATAGGAGCACTGGTCTCTGGTGACCAAAAGGTCGGGGACTGCTGCTTTAAGGTCTTGGAATTCACAAAAATTTTCAATGAGCCTTGAAGCCTATTGATTCCGTGGTACTTTAGACGGCAATCTAGTTATAACCCTTTGTTCCTCTTTTTATTCACTGTAAAATTCTTAGAAACCAAGATGAAGTTTTGGGTGTGATTGAAGAGAATTTCTTATGCTGTCTCAGCAATAGCAGCTTCATCTTGTACCTGATATTCTTGAAAGGATTTATGCCTTCATCATGTATATGCCAACCTAACATATACACAGTTTTTCATCCTTTGATCCTTCACTATTTTGAGGCATCTGGAATTTCTTACCAGTATCAAAAAGCTCAAAGTACTAGCTAATAAGATGGCAAAACTGAAAAGCATATGCATTTGGGTTTGCTCCTAAATCTTCAAAAATAAATATTTTTATTTTTTATTTATATACAGGTTCTTCAAGTTGCCTTCTAATAGTGAATCACAATTGTTACTAGAGCATGCATGGCTTTTTTGAGTTCTAAATATTTTAAAGAATGGAATGTAAGATATAGCATAAGATATGCTTGTACATAATAAGTCTATTATAGTTAAATATGCCACAGCTTATCCATTTACCAAGTGACTACTGTCCTTCAAATTAGCCATTTGAGGAGACTATTCTAATTCCAGCAGTGCTACCATCCAAAAAAAAAAAAAATGTTACTGGCATTTGTTGAGAACTGCCTTTAAAAAGTTTCCCAGATTTCTCTAAACATAAATGTTACTGGCATTTGTTGAGAACTGCCTTTAAAAAGTTTCCCAGATTTCTATAAACATGAATAAATTATTTTTAGTTATAGGTCATTCTATTTTTTATCTCCTACTTTTTCCCCCTTTCCTTTACCCATTTGCCTAGGTCTGCTCCTTTCTTCTTTCCTTTATCCCTTATCCAATAGCTTATTTACCTTGTAAGAGAAACTGTTATTACTAGAGAGTGGCAAGGTGTTGCTGGGGAGAAGGACCTTACAGGGTGGAAGGACCATTTTCTAGTTCACAGTTCTTATCAGCTGTGTGCATAAGGCACCCATGGAGTCCAGATCAGACAGGCTCTTAGAATCAATTCTGTAAGACCCAGAAAAGTTTTCCTCATCTATTGCTGTTACCTTTTGACTGACTGACTCTTATAAACAAAGCACGTGCTGAGCTCCCAACCAAGCACTTTTCCAGGCACCGTAGAGAACACAAAAAAGCGTCTAAGCTGGTGTCAGAGGACCAGAGCAGTGATCCTCCTTAACCCTGGCTGAATATCAGAATTACCTAATGGAACATAAAATGCAAAACAAACAAGTATATGTCCAAGCACCAGCCCTAGAAGGTTCTGATTCAATAGGTTTCATGTGGTCTGGATCCCAGACACCTATCTTTTTAAAAGCTCCACAAGTGACTCAGATGTACTTCTTGGATGATAATCATCAGGTCAGAGCAAGGAAGGAATCTTAGGGCATGAGAAGGACCTTAAATGGAATATATTAGGAGACTCATTTGTGTAATTTTTGCTGTTGTAAAAGTGCCACAAGCAGTGATGTCTGGAAAGTATCAATATAGAACCATGGAATCGTAGAGCTGCAAAGTATTGTTCCCTCCAATTTGTATTATTTCACTGTATCCTTTTTGAATCTTTGTTTTCCCTCTTCTTGTATTGAATACTTAAAAATTTTCCATTTTTACTTATTTTATAGGATTCTACTGGCCGTTTTCATCAAGTGTGGTATGATAACCCACAGAGCATTTCTTTAAAGGCAGCATTTATACAAACCCGTGGCTTACGAGGCATTGGCATGTGGAATGCAAACTGTCTTGACTACTCTGGAGACGCTGTAGCCAAACAGCAAACTGAAGAAATGTGGAAAGCATTAAAACCGAAGCTGTGACAGACATGAACATCCACTGTCAAACTATTAAGATTTAGAAAATGATGTGTATAAATAGATGTAGTTTCTTGAAGAGGTAAAAAATGTATACATTGTCATGTTGCTATACGTTTTACTTATTACTATAATCAAAAACATAAAAAATAAAGAGATGCTTTGATTGTTGAATTTGAAAGATACATATATATTGATATCTTCAGTGTCCAGAAATATAAAGATAAGAAACAAGTCACTTACTTTCTTAAATATTCCTTTATAAGATGTTTTAATACTATAATTAGAAACAACTGCTTTCAAAATTTAATTAGGCTAATTTTTCCCCATGATATTAAAATATATGCTTACAAATCGATTCTAATTTTTAAAATATATATAATTCGAAGTAGAAATTGTTTATTGCTTAGAATAGATTTTTATAAACCTCGTCTTTGAGAAGCAGTTTGCTCTGTACTTTTTTGTTTTTTAATAAATCTAAATTTAAAATCTGCGATTTATTCTCCTCTTTAGGTCCATCAAACTACTGGAAATAATTTTCCTGCTCCAGGACTCCATGTAGTCTTATGTTCTCTGAGGCATTTGAATTAAACTCAAACCTCCAGAGGAAAAAAATATAAAGTATTAAAATACTCACAAAATCAAGAAGATACTTTAGTAATATTTTGAATTAGTATGTTAGACCCATGTAATATTTTCCAAATAAATTTTTTATGTGGTTATATCTGATATTTTACAATAGGAAAAACTTGCTGTTGAAACTGAATCTATCCTTTGTCATTTACCCCTCCAATTATTAATATCCCTTCACTATGGATATCTATACTTTATTTCTTGGCTAGTTTTCTTTTCAGTGGTCAATTTTTTCTTTTTCTATATCTGCATTTTACTTTTAATTATTAAAAGACATTGGTTTCTCAAGTTGTTTCTCTTTCTAAAGAGAAATTTTGTACAAAGAACTTTTCTAAATGCACAGAGGTCTTTGTTCTCTTTCTCAAGTCAATTAAGAACACTGTGTTGCACTTCTTAGTTCCTATAAATACTTAAATTAAAAGTTTGCACCCTGGAACTCTGAATTTACATAAATATTGCTTTCTCTATACATTTATTCTCTCCAAATGGAAATAAATGATGATTTGATTATGTGTTATGAGAATATTTCATTTCCTACTTGCATAATTATTTATGGCAGCGTAAAGTCAACCATTTTCCATATTATTTGCTTCATTTCTAATATCTTGTATTTCTAAAATAAATTACTAAAAATAAATTACTAATAAATTCTTAGACACTAATCTCTATCATAGCTCTGTATGCATGTTCAATATCTCTATTCTTTTATATTTCCAGACTGCTTTTAATTAAAATTAATGAATAAATTAAACAGTCTATTTATATGTGAATATGTTCATATTTACTAAACTACATGATTTTTTAATAGTTGCTTTACAGTCATATTAGCAATTAAATTTTAAGACTTTAAAAATGAAAAGTATAAAATATAGTACAGTTAAATATGTAATAGATTAGAAACAATGAAAATAACCCAGTACAACCATATTGCTTTTATACATCTAATATTTCATGAAACTCTCTGTAATATCCATATGAAAAATAAACCTTATGATTTACATAAAACATTGCCAAGAACAACAAAGGTAGTCTATGGCTATGCTACCCTGAACAATCCTGTCTGATCTCAGAAGCTAAACAGGGTTGGGCCTGGTTAGTACGTGGATGGGAGATGACCTAGGAAGACCAGGTGCTGTAGGCATAAAAAATAAGGCACTGTAAACTGACAAGGTCCTTGCAACCTGTGAGGTCAACCAAGGGTTGCCTTGCCTAAAAAGAAAGGAAGGAAGGAAGAAAAGAAAGAAAGAAAAAAAGAGAACAACAAAGGTTAAACAAATTTTCAAATATTTAATTGTTTAGACTAATAAAAGTTTTAAATTAACGTACCTACTTGAGGCTGTAAAGATGTATTAATTTTATTCTGTGCCAGTTCAGCTTTCAATGTGCGTACATTGGATATTGCTTGTTTTCTCATCTATAAAAAGAATTACCTTTAAAAAATGAACTTCATTTTGCTCGCTAAAATAACATTGTCATGTAAAGAAGGGTTTTTGTAGCTTAACTCTTCTCATTTTCCTTCAATGCCTTCACTCCCACTGGATTAGTATGGTAAATGAATGTATAAGTCATAAGTCCTGTTAAATAAGCAAGCATGCTATTTACTGCTAGATAAGCTATCATAATTTTGTTTATTAGTATACAGTCATAATAAAATTAAAATTAAAATATCATAAAAAATAGATTGAAAATAAATTTTATCTTTTGTGGAAGTTTCAAAATATGTTCTAAAGTGTAAAGAAATAGTAAAAAACAAAAAACAAAAAACAAAAACCCAAAATCGAAAAAACAAAATTACTGAAAACCTTAATTCCCAATCCTCAGAAACCCAATAGGCATGTAATAAAAGTGTTACTCTGTGGCAAGCCCTCTTCTAAGTGGATTAACCTCTTTGATTCTTTCAAAAATTTTATTGAGGCAGATACTATTACTTAACCTCATTTTATAGCTGAGGAAACCGAAATGCTTAGTAGTTAAGTAACCTACTCCAAGTATAAAACTGGTACGTGGCACAGCCAGGATTCAAACTCAAACAACCTGGTGCCAGCATCCTTATTATTTCATATACCATCTTTACACCAGCAGCATTCGCATCACTTGCAAGCTTCTTAGGAATGAAGAATCTCAGGCTTTACCCCAGACCACTGAGTCAGATCATACTTCCAAAGGATCCACCCTCCAGTGATGTCATATTAAACTTAAAGCACTGCTTATGCTAGACTAATTTGAATATGGTTGCAACAGATTCAGGCTAGGTTTTCTGTCCCTTAGTTCTGAATCTTACAGGTAAGTTTGGGTAAACAATTCAGAAATCAATAATACATACTAATAATGTGTACTATATATCAGTTAGGCACTATGGTTAAATGTAGAATTTTTTCCCCTAGTGTAAGCTGAAAATTTGGTTCTCAATTTCCTATTAGTCTTTCCTGTTTTTGTACTAGATTCTAATATGGATTTCAACCATTCATAAGTGATATTTATAATGATAAAATAAACAAAGATGGTGAGACTTAATGTGTACACTTTCCAAAAGAAGTGTTTCTATTACTCCCTTTTACCCACCCAACATCCTTAAGTGTAGTTTCCACTTTGACTTTCTCTCCATTTTTTGAATACATAGTTTTTATTCATTGAACAAATTATTTTTTTATTGCATACCATATAAGACTACTAAATATTCATATTTGTTAAAAATTGTCCCTTGCCCTTCTTCTTTTTTGCACCTTAAGTTTTAAGCTTCTCAATGCCCAGCCAAGACTTAGCCTTGAGAATGTTGCTAGTTAAAAGGGTCTAAGCTGTGCTGTGCAATACAGTAGTCATTTGCCACATGCAGCTATTTAAATTTAAATGAACTGCAATTAAATACAATTTAAAATTCAGTCCTTAGTCACTCGGAAGGCTACATTTCAAGTGCCCAATAACTTCTGTCTCTAGTGGCTACCTTAGCATACACTACAGGTATGAATCACTCCCATTGTCACAGAAAGTTCTCTTGGAAGTGCCTATTCTAGAAAGAGGTCGTTATTCTGTGTCATAAAGCCATTTCTGATAAAGAGGTGAATTGAGAGCATTCGTGTAAGTATACATATGAAAATGACTGGAGAGAGATAATTACCCAAGAGGAGGAAAAACAAATGAGAGTTCAGAGAGCTCAGTGGTTTGTGAGACTTATTTATGAATGACCCTAGTACATGAAAACTACCCCTTTTAAATGTTTCATTGAGACTTTATACTGATTGACAGGGTACTTTTTAAAAAAATTCTCACTGGAATTTCCTAAATTTTTACTCTGGCCTTGTTGTAACATGCATCTTTTCAGGAGTTAGTTGTCGTTACTGCATTTTTTTCACTTGTGCTATTTGTTATTAAGGCAACAATTTTAAGACTGTCGATCCTTCCTACTCTTACACTATTGACACCCAAAGTTAAAACATCAAAATACTTTATTTCAAGATAAATTTTATAATCTCATTAGGAGAGATGCAAATTACCTTAACTTCTATGATGAGATTCATTTTGTCAGTATCCAATTTTCTCTTAAGTTGGTCAATTGCATGCTGTACTTCAGTGATCTGAATTATAAGGTAATTCTGTGTGAGATATACAAAGACATCTTTATTAAGGATAACGTCTATACATATTTATTTTTAACTGACTTGCTGACAGAAACTACAATGTGTTAACAAATATCAAAAGAGCAAATAACGAAAATAACCTATTCCATAAAATAAACTTATTGCTTCGGAGTAAATTACTATGACCTAATTTCCTACATTTGAGGGACTACTTTCTCTTTTGTTCTACTACCATTATTCATGTATTATAAAAATAGATATTTGTAAAAGTTGCCATTAAATTAGTACTCATAAATAACAACAACTATTACTATGAAAGAAATATGTAATTTTAAGATATTAGCAATGTTTTTTTGAAATTAATGAGCTTTATTAGCTGAATAAAATTAGAATTACTTTAACATATTTAATAATGAGATAGTATATTTTATATAAGAAAACTTATTTGCCACAAGAAAACCTATTGAATATAAGAAGCCTTTCAGTCACTTTTGTTCAAAAAGTTTATGAGGTATCATATCAGCAAAGAAATTATTTAAAATATTAAGCTGACTTAGTGAAAAAAACATGACCGTATATTGAATTTGATAAAACATAAGACAAAAAGTATCATCTATGCTAAAAGTATCAGCTAATATGAACAGAGCATTACTTGAACTTATTTGGACTTTATATTAAATTTATCTAAAATAGTAAACTTTTACTCATAGAAACAGAGAACAGATTGGTGGTTGCTAGGGTTTAGGAGTGGGGGAAATATGTGAAAGGGTACAAATTTCTAGTTATAAATAAGTTTTGGTGATGCAATGTACAGTATGGTAACTACAGTTAACAACAGTGTATTTGAAAGTTGTTAAGAGAGTATATCTTAAAAGTTCACATTATCAGAAAAAAAATTTTGAGGTGATAGATGTTAACTAGACTTATTGTGGTAATCAATTCACAGTATATACATATATCAAATCATTGTGTTATACACCTTAATACAATATTATGTCAATTATATCTCAATAAAACTGGGAAAACATAAACAAGGAAACAATATTTCATCATGTCTAAAGTTAAATCTGTACTCTTAATCATGATTAACATATTATAAAATCTTTTTTGGATAAGTGGGATAAAGCAACAAAAATTAAACTGATAAATAAAATGGCCTCTGGAATTTGTTATTTAATTATATGGTGAAATTACTCAATTAAAAAATAAACTTCATGTCTCTGATCTTTCACAATTCAAGACTATCTTAAGAAAAAAATGAATTGACAAAATGTAATTTAATAATTTCTTTAGACATCGATACCTTTAGATTCCATGGATGCGATTAACACTCCCCCTTCTCCTGCACTAAAAAAGAGGAATGCAGTAAACACTGTTCATCCTCCCACTGTATTTCAGCATGTGTTGATCTCTTTCCCATAGAATCAGAGAAAGCGACCCTGTCCTCAGGTACAGAGGTACATCCTAATTGGTGTAAGTCAGCGCATAGCATTCCCTGATAATTATCAGTCCACTGTAGGCTTGGTTGATGACCCCACCAGGCAAAAGGGAAAGTTCTGTATATTCTATGCATCTGAGAGAGGGTCTCTCTTAGATTGGAGGCATACAGCTCAACTTGCCATTGGCACCTCTATTGCTACAATGAAGGAAAGCAGTCTTATAATGAAACCAACACTTGAAAATAATAGGGAGATATCAGAAGCACCAATGCTCTTAAAAGACCATTAAGCTGTTGATTGTATCTCCTCAGTACCCATTCTATGAGACCCATAAATTTTCTTATTGTTTAAGCCAGGTTAAGTCACAGTTTTTTACCTGTAACCCAAAGCATCCTAAATATGATAATACTGACAATTATAAATCATCTATTTTGAACAGAACTTCAATATAATGTGAACACATTTAGAAGCACCTTAGAGTCTGTTATATTTGCCAGATTCTTTGGTCTCATTTTGATCTCCCTGGCTTCAAGCTGCATGAGCAATTTTTTATAATAAAGTTCCAAATCTTCTCGAAGTTTTGTTAAAACCTCCTCCAGTGATGCTGTGACTTTCTTTGTTTCAAAATGCTTTTTCTTCCAATCATCACAGGCTATAAGAGAGCGAAGGTCATAGTTTCAATCTGACTAAAGAATTCAACTTTTCAACCTGGAAAGGACCTTAGATTTAATTTAAACCCTTTTACTCCTCTTGTCTTCCTCCCTTACATGATGAGGAAATTAGAGCTAAGAACAGAAATGTTTATTGGGTAATAAAAGTACTTTTCTACAAATATAGTAAAATAGTGGTAAATCCAGGAACCATAAACGAGTTCTTCAAGTTTGTAATTATTTTGAGAAAACCTTTATTAAAAAGATTTCCAATTGCTAAATGTGTATAATTTTGATTACTTTTCCATAATCTGATTTGATTATGGTAAAGTTATTTATATAATTATAACTATGAAAAAAGAGGCATAATTTTTCTTGTTTTTCTTTATTTTTTCAGCTCCCAAAATGACGTATGTTTTGTGATATAAGCTGATTCTGATTCATCATTTATCAAAATTATTCCAACTACATCCCCAAAATTGTGTGGGGTAGAATTTCTCAAATCTGAGATTCTTAATTACAAATTCAGCACTGCCAACTAGGAAATCAGTGTGGCGCCAATGAGATTCTAAGTACAAACTTAACAGCAACACAAACTACATGCTAGCATACTAGAATATGTTTTTTTTTTTAAGATTATCAAAGAAATGCAAACCCCATATCAAATTCTATATGATGATTTGATTAAAATTATATAACTATATGGAACTTAACTAAAAAATTTAACTATTGCCCTATATCTAATCCTCATGCCCTATATATTATGCATTATCTTTCTAACTGGTCTCTGCTTCCATTCTTGCCTCTGTACAGTATATTCCACATAGTAGTCATTCTGATTTTTCTAAAATATTTTTTAAATCATGTAAATCCCTAGCTTAAAAATCCTCCAATGGCTTCCTATATTATTTAGAAAAAAGTCCAAATTCCTTGAATCGGCCTATTTCTTGCTCAACTTTTGATTTAATCTCCTTCTAAATTTCCTACTTATATATCACGCTCCAGCCATACTGGCCTTGTTTTGGGTCCTAAGACCGCAAGCTCATTTCTTTCTCCGGACCTTGACATTTAGTGTTCCTTCTGTTTAAACTGTTTTTCCCTATCTCTTCGCATGTCTGCCTCCTTATTAATAAAATCTTAATGATATCTCCACAGAAATGTCATCCTTGGAAATCCTACTTAGAGCATCTGTCCTGCCCCATCATTCTGTATTACGTTCTTTTAAATAACACTCTTCTCAACTCTAATCAATAACTGATATTATCTTACTTATTTGTTTCCGTTCCCCACAGCCACCACCCCCTTTAGAAGCAAGCTCCTTAAGAGCAAGGCAATTTGTCTTATTTACTGCTGTGTCCTCATCATATAAAACAATGCTGGGAATTGAGGCACATAGTAGGCTCAATAAATATTTGATGGCTGATACATGCCTTGAACTTAAAACATTCCTTGTTTAAGTAGAAAGTGACTGATCATTTTCATTTTATAAAGAGAAAGAGTGACATGCAAAATACCTTGCCTTAGTAAAAGACTGATCTGGTATTAGAGTCCTGGTCCTGTGATTTCTAGTTCATTGCTCCAATTTGTTTGATGAAATTTCTTGTTTAATATTACAAGGCTAAGTTATCGCTACCATTCCAAGGATTCATTTAATATTAGGAGGTAGAACTTTCAGAAATATCTCCTGACATTGTCAGTGCTAGTATTGAAGCAATAATTTTGCTGTAAATTGAGAATCCTAAAATCAGTTAATTTCCATATATACTTTTTACCCTTATAATCTCCAAGTACAATCCAACATGCAGGCCTCCCAAATCACTTCACGTCTCTCAAACCATTATCCTACACTTTCTCTTCTCTGACTCATTTTTCTATTTCCACCAGTCCTAACAACATTTTTTATTGTAAGAAAACAATCTACTTTTCCTACCTAATGTCTTTCATTTATTCATTTTAGCCAAGCAGACTGACATACATATGAAAAATTAAGCATCCAGGGGAGACTAAGGACTCAAAGAAGCCTTCTAGAGTAAGTGATGTCTAACCTGAAATTGAATGATTAGTAGGAAATAGCCAGGTGAACTGAGAAGAAGGGGACAGAAGGAGAAGATAAGACAAGCAGGTGAGATGGCAGAGGGAAAACCATGCCTGAAGACCTGCAGCAAGAGGAGGCGCACCTCAGATTCTCGTATACCTAACACTTTTCCTGGAAGCCTTTCTTGATCTCTTCAGCCTCATTTAGGTGTTCCTCCTCTGTTTCTTATGCATAGAGTTCTGCAATTCCTTTATCACAGCATTCACCAGGAGGTATCATTACTGCCTAACTTGATTATCGTTTCCCACTGGGCTACAAACTCTTTGAGGGCAGTGACAAGATTGTGTCTGCATATTAGTATCTCCTCAGCCCCTAGAACAGTGACTAAATTCAGCAGGCAATTAATAAATACTTATTTAGTAAGTGAATAGAAGAATGAAGAAAAAAGTAAATGTCATTTATGATAAATATTTGAATTTTAATAAAAAACAACCTATGTGAACCATGTTGTGTTTATTGTATAAAATAGTTGAACAATAAATACATGTTTTCTGTATTGATCTTATATCAATAGTATACCTTACCACTTAAACAGTAAAATAGTAAATATTAAAAAGTATAAGTTCCATAAAACTTGTTTTCTTTACAGTGACAAAAGAGGTAATAAACTTTACCATGACATCGCTTCAATTTGCTTTCTTCATACAGCTTTTCCACTTTTCTTATTAGCTCTTCTCTAATTCTTTCCAAATGTCTTCTTTCTTCCTTTACTTGTTTCATTTGTTCTATAATCTTCTCTCCTAAAATATTATAACCAATAATCATCAATGTCTAAGAGATGGTTCATTTCCTGAAATATAGTATGTAAAACTTAAAAAGTGTTTAAAATGGAAGAATAAATTTTACTCAAATTCTGTTTTTCTTCCTGCAATATAGCATTTATCCCTTTGGAAAACATTGAGGAGTCATTTCAGTTTCTAGGAGTGATACATAAGGGATTTACATATATGTAAAGAATACAATATGTCTCATCTATGTTTACATATATTTGTAAAACTGGGTATAGCCCAAGTAGTTGTATTTTTTGGTTTAATTCTTTTGGTAAATTTATCTTGGACCCAAAGTTATTGTATTTAAATTTTACATAGAGAATTAAATTTTAGAGTATATTTTTAAAGCAGAAATATTACTGACTAAACATATGCAGCAATCAACATAAAATTCTATACTTTAAAATAATTTAACTTTTTTGTGGTAAAATATACATAATAAAATTACCGGTTTACCCATTTTCAAATGTACCGTTCAATGGTATTACATACATTTAAAATGTCATAAAATCATCACCACCACCCATCTCCACAATTTTTTTTAACTTCCCAAACTTAAACTCTGTACTCATCAAACAATAATTCCTCATTAACATCATTTAACTTTATCTCAAAGAATTATCTGTACATACAATATCATCATACTTACTCTCCATCTGTAATAAAGAAATTTCAGTTATTCCTGGAGAAAAAACAGGCTGACAAGGAAGTGGAAGAAAATCAATATGATCTGGTAGGGTGATACACTTTTTTTTACCTATCTGCAAAAAAAAAAAAAAACCATGAAAATCAGTAAAATTTGGCAGGGTGATACTATTTTTCACCTATATGTAAGCATCTGGTAATATACAACAGTAATGCATTTTTTTCTTACTTATATGGTGATGAACTCCCAAATTGATATTTATACTTATAGACTCTTGTGCTCGGGTTTCTCCATTCCTCTATTACTTGGACATTATACACATGTTTACAGGGTTTCTCCATTCCTCTATTCTTTTTTTAAAAGAATACATTATTGCTTTGTAAACATGATTTCCTTCCAACACTTTCAATCTTAGTTACTTCTTATGGTAACATTTAAATTTTTCTAAGATGACTATTGAATTTTTTTCATCTTGAGCCAACTTTAATCACTGGTATTTGCTTAGAAAATTGGGACTTTCTATTACATTTTCAAAGTTTAATATACATTTTATTTCATATATTTTATCTACTCTGTATTTGTGTTTATATCACCTTCATCTTTCCTAAGTTTTGTGTTTCTGCCCTTTTTTTGATAAACTACCTCAAGCCTTCCAATGATGATGTTTCTCCCACTACCACTTTATAGATCTTAAATTGTTTCAATTCTGCTAGAATTTTTTACTTCTGTCTAACTTACCAGTTGCTACTTTTATCTTTATTAAGCCCTTACTACTACTTTGTTTTATTCTTCCTTTTTGAGTTTGTTATCTTATTTTCTTAACTTACAAAGTCAGGTTCTCACAGGATAATGGCAACCACCTAAATTAGAATCTCTCTACACATCCTCCCAACTGCTATAAAAGGAAAGCAAATAAAATCATTCATAATTTATGTCTACAGCATAAGTAGGACACAGAATCTTTTGATTTACACATGCCTTAATTTATGTTTAAGTGGGGAAATAAACACCCTAGACCAGCAGAGTGTGTTCAGGAGCCAATTACTGAGCAGTCAGATGTGACTGACTATGCATTAGAGAGAACTATGAACAGATAACACAATAAACATTAACCTCAGTTAGTATGGAAGAATAGGCTCCACCCATGCTGTGCAGAAATATTGAGGGTAAAAATAAGATCTGATAAATCAGAGCACTTTCTATGAGAAATCCAAAAGAAAGGGGCTGGTATAACGTTGACGGTCAGAAATGATAATGATGGGAAGATATAGCTTCTGAGAGAGAAGAAAATGCTCTGGAAGCGAGAGGTATTCTTTTGGGGCTAGATGGTGAGAAACAATAAGAAAGTGGTCAAGATAAAAGCTCAGCGAATTAAATCAGTAGGAAAAAATATCAAAGAAAATAGACCCCTTCTCCAAGGCCCCATTTATTTACAAATAAATAAATAACTGCATTTCACTATATCAACAGAAGAGGGGGTGCTTAACCCAAGAAGCAGAAAAGCCACTAAACACTACTTGTTCCTCTATAAGAACACCTGTTATGTGGATTCTGGGAAATATGGCGGAGTGAGAGACATCCTCAGATCTCTCCTCTTGAAACAACACTAAGCTGAACATCTAAAACTGAACAAAAAACACCCAAACTGCACACCAGCACGTCTGAGCGTGGGATCGGCGCATAAGAACTACCACAGGTCAGAACCCTGGGTGTCAGATGGTTGACTGGGAGAAATAAAGCAGCTGCCTCTCGCAGCTGATGGAGTTCCCTGATGAAGGAGGGAGAAGGAAGAAGATGCAGTGACTTCCTTGAACAGCCCTGCCTGGAAGTGCTGGGACTTCTACGCAGCTGGCAGCAGGGCCAGTCATCAGAGCAGAAAGCAGAGAAGCGGGATGGGGCTGCAAAGATACAACAGTTGATTTTTACCGGCCGCAGTTGCAAAACTGAGGCTGAGCCGCAATCCCCAACCCCCAACCCAGAAGGCCCCTCCCCCATATTCCCCAAATCGATCACCACGGAGCCCCAGGGGAATCTGAGCAAACGTAACCAAAACTGTTTGCTAACACTGACAGGGACTGAAACTGAGAATAGAGAGTGTGATTAAATTTCTACAAGAAAATTAAAAAAAAAAAACAAAAAACATTTTTTTTTACATAAAGCAGGGATCCAAAAGGCTTTGACCCCACCTACTGGAAACCAAAGGAAAAGTGCCTTCTTTGCAGCAGGCTACAGAGACCATTATAAAATAAATCTTTCTGGAAAAAAGGCACAATACACTTCCATTACT